CGCACGATTACGTAGAGACGTAAATACAAAAGACAAAATGTCCATTACGAGATACAAACGGTGAGATGTTTACACGGTACTTTACTCCAAAATGTCCGCGTACGTAATAACCCGAAAAACTTTCCTCGCGAAAGACGCGTTTATTAATCGGTCGCGCGTAGCGACACAGTAAATTGGATTCTATCGGAAGGAATAGAGAAATGGCGTATAGATAAACTTACCGCGGCGCGAGGAGAGAGACATGCGTTTTGTTTGCCCAATTGCGTAGAAAGAGAAGGCGAGGGACGGTGCGATCGAAAGAGTAAAAACTTAAGAAGAAGCACCGTATGCAATTCGCCGCTTCGCCATACGGGAAAATTAGGTCGTCAAGCTGGAGCCAATTCAGCACGTCGATTAAATAATTCTCCGCTACTTATAAAAGCGGGAGCACTAAATGTGCGCTGATAGTGTTATCTTAGCGTAGTGATAAAAAAAAAAAAGAGAGAAAAGGAAAGATCTTAAAACAAATTTACAGAGCTCGTTTCTCGCGCGAGTGTGCCAAGCGCGTTGAGAAACAAAAAAAAAATGCGCCGAGGGACGTTTTAACGACACGAAAGACGTTTTGTTTCGACGTTTTTCTACGCACGAAGGTTCACTAGCGAAATTGGAACCGATAGCTATCGCCGCCGCTACATTTTATCGCTTTAACAAATAACAAAATCTGCATAACAGATTCGCAAAATCCATTTACACCACCAAGTACCGCGTACGTGCGTATCGCGGAACTCGGTTATATATAAAATTCGGAATTTCAATCGGTCGCCGGTTTTCGCGTTTTCCCCATTGCACGCGTAAAAGGAGAGACGAGCAGCGAAATGCGAGACGACGCCGCGCAAAGAAAAGTGACTCGACAAGTGAGAGAATCGCGCTTGTATCTCCTTCCCTTTAAATCGCATACCGATGTAGAAACTGCTCACTTTGAGTTTCTATATATCTAGGGTCGCGCTATCTCATTCTGCTAAATTTATGTGTGACGAATCCACGAGATAACTTCGCCAGCGTACATTGTTTGATAACAGACAAAAAAAGGTCGTCTCGCGTGATTCGACCGATGGAGTAAAAAAGAAAAAAAAAAGGAGAAGAAAAAAAAAAGTAACAACTTTCGGGTTATCAGCCCACTTTCGCGCGCTCTGTTACCGGCGGTATCGTCGTTACTATTTGTACAATTTCGCGCGCGCACACACAGTCGAGATGACCGCGCGGGGTGAGAGAGAAAGAGAGAGATTACGCGAGCGGGGAGATCTGCGAGTTTTGAAAATTAGCATGTGTCACACGTTACGTATACCACACTCTCGGCGAAACCGGCCGGTCGGCTGAGAAAGAGAGATACACACGCACACACGCACACACATACACCCAACACAACAAACACGCGCGATCGATGGATCGAGAGAGATCCCTCCCGATACAATACCTTCACTAACACACATACACGACTATAAGTTGTACTCTCGTACGATGTGTATAGTTTCTAAGGCACGCTCGGCCGGCAACGGGAATCACAGTTTGCCAAGTGCGAACGCGTTATCGCGAGGTAACACCTATCAGCCGTCATGCCGCGTAAGCTAATGACCGAAACAATGAACCGAACACGACGACGATGGGGCGACGCTGCCTGTCTGCCTGTCTGCCTGCCAGCCTGCGTGCGTGCGTGCGTGCGTGCGTGCGTGCGTGCGTGCGTGCGTGCGTGCGTGCGTGCGTGCGTGCGTGCGTGCGTGCGTGAATGAGTGAGCGAGTGAGTGAATGAGTGAGTGAGTGAGTGAGTTAGTGAGTTAGTGAATTAGTGAGTGAGCGAGTGAGTGCGGGCGCGAAGCGGGCTTTCGCGCGTGTTTATCTCCGGGCAAAAGGAGAAGTGAAGCATAACACTAGACACACGCGAGAAAAAAATCGTTCACGCATTCGTACGGTGGTTCCTCTCGTGTCGAGGCTCGAGTTACATCCGAAAAATCGCGATCGATCCCGCCGTGACACCCGCGTGATCGACACGTAGTAGCAGTTGAAATGGGACAGAGTGGAATTCTCGGCCGTGGATCCTCGTTGCGCCGCGGAAAAAAAAAAAAGCGAAGCGAACGTTTTGCGCGAGCGAGCGAGCGAGCGAGCGAACGAACGAGGGTGCGAGGATATCAGTAAATACACTTTCAAATAAATACTAAACGATTTTGTCGTTCCTTCCTTCCTGCGCGTGGATCATCCTCCTACCCCTCCGCTCCCTCTCATCGCGCGCACCAACCACCACCACCGCCCCCACGCTACCGCCGCCGCCCGAACTGTCGGCCACACCGAAAGTGATCGCGATCGAATGAGGACGGCGCAGTGCGCGCGCGAGACGGAGAGAGAGAGAGAGAGAGAGAGAGAGAGAGAGAGATAGGCGGAGACAGAGGCGGGACGGAGAGAACGAGAAAGATGATCGAGCGCGCCGCGCCGCGCCGCGCGACTTTCGCGTTTGCCGCGCGCGCGAAATCCGCGTTTCATCCGCGTATCAATCCGGGATGTCCGGATCGTCTCTCGCGCGCGCGCGCGTTTCAGGGTACGGCTCGTTATACGATGTGCGATGTAAGTAATAATAAGGATAAAGGTAAAGGCGCGTATATAAAAAGGGAGAGACGACCGGAGAGAATCGGCACGGTACGGCACGGCGGTTAGTGGCGGTGGCGACGACGAGGACGAGGATGAGGACGAGGACGTGGCGGTGGCGGTGACGGCGACGACGATACGCGCGGAATCTTCTGCACCTTGACTGAGGGCGCCGCGAGCGAGCAGTCACCGCAGCAGGCTCCTTCCCCGTCGCATTCCGGGCGTGCGAGCGAACCAACCAACCCCTAAAACGTCACGTCACGACTGTGCGACTCCGTCGCGGAGAAGGCGCCGCGCCTCCCCCTCCCCCACCCCCTCCTCCTCCGGCGCCCCCTTCACGTCGCGGGGCCGGTACGTCGCGAGGCCGCACGAAAATGTACGAAAAGCCGGCGGCGATCGTCGCCGTTATACGGAGGAACGGGCGCGTGCTCTCCTCTGCGCGAGAGGGAGGAAGCCGAGACGGAAGAAGGAACAAGTCCGCGAGAGGGAGAGAAAACGCGCGTCTTGCGCCGCTCCGCGCCGCGCCGCGTCGGGGCGCGGAGAAAATACTTCTCTCCGAGGATAAGCGCGAAAAAGGGAGAGGGAGAGAGAGAGAGAGAGAGCGAAAGAGACGATTGAATGACACGCGGACCGAGAGGAAGATGGACGCAAGATTTGACGTGGAGGGCGAAAGGGGAAGGAGACTTTTTTTCATACTTGAGGGTACATCTCTAATCGATAATGTACGTTTAGAAGACGAGTGGTGTACGAGCGAGACCGTGGAGGAGGGAAGGAAAATGAAGAATGAGAAATAGCGCGGCGGCGTGTAACCAATGACGACAGATTCCGCGAGCGATGACGCCGCGTGTGCGATGAGACGAAGATCGGAAGACGTGCAGAAACGCACGGCTCATCGAAGACGGGAAGAAAGAGGAGGCGAACACGAGGCACACACCGTCCAATCCATTCCTTATGTTCATCTAATCAGTCGAAAAAGGTCTGGCGGCTAATGATATGTACACAAATGCAGCATTAAAATACCGAGAATTGAAATCGGCACGTCGTTTCGGCATATTATGTTTTATTTACGTAAGAAATAATCGAGTGCCATTATATGTCGAGTATTTTTATCGTCGCGAGTAAAACGGCAGGAACGTTCTCGCAAATTTCTAGCGTTGATGTCTGGCGTTTTCGTTTACACGAAAAATTATTATTGAACGTCGCGAAATATATTAAATATATTAAATATACGTCGTTTTGCAAAGCTTGTTAAGTACAGTGAAGAATCGAGAAGAAATCAATTATTCGACGAAGATGTAACGATAATGGAATAGTTACGAGAAAGCAATCGAAAGCCATCGATTAAAGATTGCGCGTTAATCGTTGCTATGTTAAATTTTAAGATTAATTCAAGAACAATTACTCCAGTTTCAAGAACTGGAGTAATGGATTCGATTTGCTATGCTATAAATAAAAAGAATATATCTTTGCCATACATCCGACACGAATAAATAAAATATAAAGAAAAAAAAAAAAAACATTTTTCGTCTTAGAAGTACATTGATTTTCAATTCTAAAGTACGGTTCGAGAATGTA